TGAGAGATACTAACAATTCAGACAAGTGAAGAACCTTAAGTTTATCTAATAAAGATTCAATTTCATAAGCTATCATCTATCTCATCATCTCTTCATCTATGTCAATATTGTTTGACAAATCTGAAAAAAAGAAGGTAAACACTTGTCAAACAGGTTCAAGTACTCATGGAAACCATAAACAGCTACAACTTAGCAGTTCAAAGCATGTATGTGAATCTTGTTGTTCATGATTAACAACACTTGTAATAAATAGAAACCTACTTACATTTATTTGTTTACTACAGTATCCTACATACAAGTCATTATTAATAACCTTTCAACAAGCCATTAACATAAACAATCCATAATGATTAACATTCTCAACAAACAACTCTTTTTGTCTAGTCCTCTTGTTCCAATTTCATCGTATGGATGCTGCAAGATCACTCCCACTACATAACTTTTCATGCAAATCAATCGTAAAAATCAAAAAGTAAACGATTTTTTGTACCATAATTCAAGATGTTAACAACTTTCGATTGCATTTACAATTTAATATTAGGTATTTTTTTTATTAGACATCTTAGATGTATGTTAAGTAATCAGCGAAGTAGAATTTGGTTTCTTACCTTGTCATCATATATGGTCATTTAGTTTTTTTTTTCTATATGCTCTTCTTGACTGCTCCAGTTATCCTATCAAATAAACACATATTAGTAATTGAAATACATATTTTAAGATTCAAGTACTCATGGAAATCATAAACAGTCCTTGAATCCTTTGTATGTTGCTACAACCTAGTAGTTCAAACTTCAAACTTGAAAGCATGTGAATCTTATTGTTCATGATTAACAACAATTGCAATATATAGCAAACTACTGACACTTATTTGTTTACCATAGTATCCTACATACAAGTCATTATTATTAAACTTTCAAAAAGCTATTAACATAAACCATCAATAATGATTAACATTCTCAACAAACAACTCTTTTTCTCTAGTCCTCTTGTTCCAAGTTCATCGTATGGATGCTGCAAGATCACTCCCACTACTTACACCAACAAAACTAACCCATGAGTGTTTCATGCAAATCAATAGTAAAAAGCAAAAGTAAACGAGTCTTTGTACCATAATTTAAGATGTTAAAAACTTTTTAGAAGCAATGAAGTATGTAAAACTCATGGAAATGTTGTCTAGGCTAAAAATCAATGGACAAATAGGTACTTTTAAAGTTTAAACTTTTCTAAAAGGGAAATATTGTAGCTTTCATGAAAAGTGTTGTAGTATTTAAACATCTTATATTTTTTTTTGCTTGTTGATCAACTCATCAAGTTCAGGGAGAGCAAGGAACAAGCATGAAAGAAAACAAAGGTTCAATTTTGATGAGTTGATAGGATGCTCGATATGTTGTATTTCTTCTGACTTTTTTGTCCTTATCATCTACTCAAAAAAAAAAACCCAACTTACTAATCTTTTTAGTTTTTTGTTCATGTTTTTTTTCAATTTGTTGGCACCTTGGATCTTAATTTAGTTTTAGTTGTAGTTTTATTTTGGGTTTTGGTTGATTTGAGTGAGGTATTTTAGGTTTAGATGATGAAGGAGAAAAAGACGAGGACAGAGTAGTCATTTCACTTGGACTTCACAGACATTTTCTAACACCATCAGCAGTTCAGTACCAGGGACAGACCTTACAACAAAACTGTACTTTTTCGACAACTTTTTCAAGATGAAAACCATAACTTTTGAAATATCAAAAGGACGAAATTGTAATTTACTCTATAAATAGCAGTGGCATGTTACCCGGAGATAACCAAGATGAAAATTGTATGTAGAAGGAGTAATACTATTGTCTGTCCCCTGGGGTATCCAAAAAATATCATTTTCCAGCTAAATACTCTGCAACATGAAATTGCAATAAATATAATATGGAGGGCAAAATAGACATTTAGATGTCACTGGTTTTTGATTGTCTCCTCTGTGTGTATGTTGAATCATATCATGTCCTTAACAGATTTAGTTAACACTAGCCAAAAGGGTAAATGAGTAAATTGTACCAAAATATAAAAGCCTCTTTTTCGCAAGTGTTCCACTCCCTCATCCAATATTCTCTTTTTTAATGCATCTGGATCTGTGGCTCAGCCTTCATAATCATCAAAGGGTGATGATTGTTACTTCCCTAAAACGCACCGATCCATATGCCAAATAAATCAGTAATCAATCGGTAGAAATCATGAAAGATTAAAAACTCAAATCAAAGGGTGATGATTGTCAATGTTGCATATAAAAGTAAACACTCCACTTTCATGTCTTCAATTTCTTTGGAAGATCGACATTGTACCTGTGTTCTACCAATAACACTTTAAGAAAATACAAGACATCAGGAGACAAGGGTGACAAACCTGAATTTCCTTATCTGATTTCTGCAATTTTTATCTCAAAGTTATGTCATTATACTAAAAAACAAAGATCAAAAAATTACAAACCTCATAAAGGATCAAATCTTAAAAAATCAGCTACACTCATGGGCCAAAATTTAAATATTACTAAAAACAAAGATAGATAAATCATTCATATATTGTTATTTAAATACTGTTACAAAATCATTGATATTCAGTAATGAAATTATGTATTAAAGTATTAACATTTGATCCAGAAACAAAAATTGTCACCAGAAAGAATGAGATGAAATCAATTAGACTACCTGTGCATTATAAGCAAGCCTCTTCTGCTGATGAAACCAGATAACAGGGCTTGTCTTCAAGAGACTGTAAAACAATTAAAAAAGAGTAGTTACACATTTGTTAAAATAATTCTTGTGCTTAATTCCATCCTACAAATGCAACAAAAATTTTGCATTGCCTTTCATTGATGACTACAAACCACAATTTCCAACACATGTTTACTTCCCAGATCAAACCTCCAACAAAAGTAAACCACCTGCATCCAAAGAGGGTAATAACGTAATTTCAACCAATTCAGTGTACAATATCAAAACCTTGATTATTAGTCAGTTCATTAAGAACTAACTTTGCAATACAATCACTTATCACCAACCAAGGGTCAAAAGAGAAATATATTTTGCCTTATGGCATAAACAAATGCATATGAAAACCTCATAGATGTTAATAACAATGACAACAAGATCAAATTATAGCACAGAAGACTGTAACTTAAAGGACAAAACTAACCTTTCTCAGACAGCCATGGATTTGAGCTTTAGCTTTTATAAGGTATCCAAAGATAGTATTATCTTACTACAATAATAAACAATCTAATAGAACATACATACATACATTACAAAAAACTAAAATAATACTTCAGAGGAATAGGTCATTTCCATAAATAGTGAAGAGCCTTGTTTGATCCTCTCTCTCTGTGGCATATTGAGTTGGATGAATTGTCACATTATCCTTGAGGTTTGTTATAATAATTTAGATCTTCAAAGTATAATATCTAAGTATGTTAAATTTTCAAAGTACAATGTTCAAAATATTTTGAATATAAAATGCTATAAATGTTAACCAAAACAAAACAAGTTCATAATTTCAAAATGCATGTCTTAGTAGGTTAGATTTTTTAAAATACAATGTGCTAATTAAAAAAAAATTAAATGTACAATGTCTTAAAGGAAAAATAGTTGTCGAAAAAATTGAACTACATTGTTATAATTGGCAACATGTTTGATAAATCAAAGTATAGTGACTTGATAGGAAAATAATAAAATTAAACTGTCTTAATAGAAGGTTTTAGACCTTAGCATCTAAATAGCATTCAATTACAATATACAAAGTCATGAGGAAACATGGAAAAGATTTTTTTTATTATTACCATATTAGACATCTTGCATGTATATTGCAAAGTAGAAGTTGGTTTCTTACCTTGGCATCATTTATGGTCATTTAGCTTTTTTTTTTCTATATGCTCTTCTTGACTGCTCCAGTTATCCTATCAAATAACCACAAATTAGTAATTGAAATACATATTTTAAGATTCGCTTACAATATTCAGAAATCCATATAACATGGGGAAGAATCCATGTGTTGATAAGTGTGGAACATTAGGTGACCCTAATAACAATCCGTGCTGACAATGTTTTTGTTGTTTGCCAAAACTACACTAAGATTAAAATCAAGTAAAAATGATAATAGAACATCAATACATGATTTAACTTGATAAACAAACCAACAAACTACATTATGTTAAACAGAACACTATCAGACCATGACTAATCTGAACAAAACCTTTGAAACAGGGCAAAGCATAACAGAAATGACCATAACCAAAGCCACTTGTCCATTTTTTTTTATTTTTGCATGAAACATAGATAATGAAAAAGTTGCTATTACAACAATACTGTAATAATTAAAAAGAAATGAAATAAGACACAAATAAATGGAAGTAAGTTCCATGACATCAGGAGACAAGGGTGATGGACCTGAAACCATAAAAGCAAGTTTGTCTTGTCTTTTATTTTGTTAAATACTAATCTGTTTGTCCCACATAGCATAGAAGATGCACTCTTGCCTGAAAGATATAATATCAGACATATTATATATTCTTTAAAGTATGGAAAGCTATCTAAAAGGCTCCCTCCCTTGTGCTGAATTTTTTTTTTATATATAGTTACCTTTAAGTAATGTTTGCCTCTTCGGATTAAATGTAACATTAAACAATCTTTCTCTATGAGCACCATATGACTAGTCATCTGGATTCATAACACTGCAACAACCACAAACCTAATTGAGCATCAATAACCCATACCAAATTGAAAAATACAATAAATTTATCATACCCATCAAATCATATACTCTGTTACACAATCATGGAACACTTCAGAACATAATAGGTGTCACTCAATTCCACCATCATCTCATCCAACAATTTCAAACATGAATGAAAATACATTGCCTATTAAGTCAAAAAGAAACAGCAGTTTTGTATGCATGATGTGATTAGTTAGGTACAATAAGGAAATCATTATCATGAACTTAATTCAGACAGAAGATGGAATTTGAGTTTCTTACTACTTGATAAATTCCAACTAAGCCACCACAGTACACCAATATCATCTGGTTGGACCTTTCATACAACAAATGGCATTTGATGGATACAACTTAATTTCAAGACTTCCACCAGCAACATTTGCAGTCAGGTTTCAAGATTTGATGTTCCATTGGAATCTTTATCTTTTTGTGCCTTTTGTCTCTGATAGGTGAATTGCAAGGGTTATCTGTCACAAAAAGATCAGCAACTCAAATGTCAAAGTAATTGATTAGCAACTAATAAAAAATTTACCCATTTGAAATATAATCTGTGGAAAATGGGTGAAACTTACAATATGCAATGCTTGTACAAAAGCGTGATACACATCATCCGGACCTGATTGGCATTAACTGCAGTCTGATACATTTGAAGCCTAAAGAAAGACAGTTTATGTCAAGTTTTTATATTGAAAAGCTTGCCTATTGTAAGTACCAAAAATGTAATATTACTCTAAAAAGATTGATAAATTTTTGTACCAAAAAATTTAATTATTGTTACAAAACCATTGATATTCAATAATGAAAATTATCTATTAAATACTAATAGCAAAACAAAATTATCTATTTAAATATTAATATATGATCAAGTAACAAAAAAAATCCAAACTTTTTTAAGATGACTGGTTTGGTTGAAAGAAAATGTAACAATAAGATGCTTGTTCAAATAGATACTTGTAAATTTTAAAATTTTCTAAAAGGAAAAAATTGCAAATTCCATGAAACTGCTGTAATCATGTAAACATCTTATACTTGTAGTTGCTTGTTGATCAACTTATTTAACATCTAGGTGACAACCCAGGTACCAAACATGCTATGAAACCATGAAATAACTGGAATTACACTACCTGTGCATTATTAGCCTCTTCTGTTAATGAAACCAGATAACATAACAGGGCTTGTCTCCAATGTCTTGAGCTGCACATACCATAACCTTTTTATTTTTCAAAGAGACTATTTATTAAACAAGGAAAAGAGAGCACTTACATTTGTTAAATAATTCTTTATCTGGATTTTGAGCTTAATTCCATCCTACAAATATGCAAAAAAAAATTTTGCATTGGCTTTGATTGATGACTAGAAGCCACAATTTCCAACATATGTTTCATTACCACATCAAACCTGCCAAGAAAAGCATAACACCTGTGTCAGAATCATTGATATTTGATAATGAAGTTTATCCATTAATAGTAAAACAAAATTATCTATTGAAGTATTAATATATGATCCAGTAACAAAAATTGCCACTACAAAGAATGAGATGAAACTCATACTTTCTTAACATAATTGGTTTGGCAGAAATAAATGGTAATTATAAGATGCTTGTTCAAAAATATCACAGCTGAATGAAGAGGTTCTTGCAAAAAAAAAAAAAAAACGAACTTTTTAAATAAATAAAAAAAAAAAAGCGGACTTTTTAATACAATAGGTCTCAGTTATGCCATGTCATCCAACAAATTCAATACAGTGTAAAGTTTTAATTTGTTCCCCATTAAGTCAAATAGAAACAGCAGTTTTGCCATGATGCGATCAAGTACAATAAAGTTATCATTATCATGAACTTAATATGGAAACAACATAAAATTTGAGTTTCTTACTCCAACTGAGCCACCATAGTTTGCCAATATGATCTGGTTGGACTCTTCATAATTTGTTGGTGTAACTGAAATAAGCATGGGGAGTACTACAACAAATTAATGGTGACACAATTGGCATTTACTTACACATCTGATGGATGGAACTTAATTGTGACTCAACAAAAGGTTTTGAAGTTACCTGAGCAATAGGTTCACAAAATGATACACTTAACCTTTAACCCCACCCAGTTGTTGATGGAAGAGATGGGATATATCAACCTCATCTAGCCCTTCAACCACCTATATATATATAGGTGGTTGAAGGGCTATATATATATATATATATATATATATATATATATATATATATATATATTTATAGGTGGTTGAAGGGCTAGATGAGGTTGATATAGCTTCATTTCAATAAAGAATCTTATCAGTCAATATGAGTTCTTGAAGGTTGTAGCTTCATTTCAATAAAGAATCTTATCAGTGCAACCAATAAGAAATGAACCAAATGATTAACTGTCAAAACAACAGAAGTTATCAATTAAGTGAGTTCATAACAAATCAAGAACAAAGAAAAAAAAAAAGCACAGGTGAATTAAGAGATAGAAACCTCTGGTGTCCACTTGTATAACATATTGTAGCAACAAACATCATCTGGTTTTGGTGGATGAAAAGAAAAGGGTGATGGATTGGTTGTTACTTCCTTCAACTTCTCTTCAAGAACAACATTGTACACTTGTTCTACCACTTCCATTACAATAAAATCAGTAACTATGGTGTGGAATGTAGAGCAAAACAAGAGGGTTCACATTAAGATGAAATCTAGAGTTGATAAAAAAATAAAAAAAAACAACAACCATGAAACAACAAAAATGTACGTTGAATTAGGCAATTGTCTCTAAATTTGAAAATTTGAACAAACTAATATCAAAATTCTAACCTTCATGAGTGTTCTCCAAAATAAGGACCAAATATGAAAAAATCAGCTACACTCAGGGACCAAAAATCTTATATTACTCTAAAAGGATTGATAGATAATCATTCTTATATTATTAAGGAATCATTGATATTAGATAACGAAAATTATGTATTAAGTAGTAATAGTAAAACAAAATTACATATTAAAGTAGTAAGATATGATCTGGTAACAAAGATTGCAATACCTGATAGCATTTCTTGTACAGATCAGAGATGAAATCCATACTTTCTTGGCTAAAAGGAAACAAGTTACTGAACAGGAAAGCATTGTAACAGATGAATTTATACCTCAACATTTAATTGTCGAACATCTCATGCATATAACATCTCAATTTGAACTTATATGGAGCCTGTAGGGTTGAAGTGCATATAACATCTATTAGATGGACCTCTTTTTTGTAACCTTATATTCAAAAGACTGATTTCAATTATAAATTAAGCAATAACAATGCACTTTCTTACCTTGGCATCATATATGGTCATTTAGTTTTTTTTTTTTTTTGACTGCTCCATTTATCCTACCAAATAACCACAAATTAGTAATTGAAATACATAAATTAAGATTCGCTTACAATCTTCAGAAATTCATATAACAATCAATACATGATTTAACTTGATAAACAAACCAACAAACAACAATATGTTAAACCTAACACAATTAGTAAAATGCAAATCAATGAAAGGGAAACAAAAAAAAAAAAAGCATTATTAGGTGCTGGATTCTTTCATGATCACATACCCACAGAAAGAGATTTGACTAGAACATCATGATATTCATAAAAAGGCTGACAGAATCAAACTTGCAATTTTTTCTCTAAATCTAATTGCAATTTCCTTCACCATTGTATTTGTATCTTTCAAGTTTTACTTTAAAGATTAGTTTATTATATCTTACCCATGAATATAATCTTTAAGCGGCCTCCATGTATGAAGCCAAATCATGCATCCTTCTTCATCAATTACTTGTCTCCTGACAAAATCTTAGAAATGTTAATTTCAATGCATGCCAAAAAGCAGAAGAGAAGAGAGTAAGGATTATTATATTTATACATAACATACGTTTGCACTTCATCTCTGTAGTACACATACAAATTACACCAACAGGGTATGATGGTTGATCATCGGATGTATATTTCATCTTAGGAACATCCACATCTGAAACAGGAACATCATTCATTAATATTGGTTTAAATGCAAGAAATACTAAAGTAGTTTCATTTTTCCAATTATAGAATTGTGGTTGAAAAAATCTACCCAGTTATAGCAATGTCATAAAGTATGTTAATCCCATCATTTCTTAGAGATAATACACAAGCATGACTGCATGAGTTTTAGGAACATAGGGGTATTTCTGGAAACACATAAACATGGTATAGACTCATATCTTTTGTAATCAGTGGATAGAAGGCAGTAATTTGATAAAGCAAGTTCTCATAATCTCGTAACAGAAAGGCATAATCACCCAACACCCTTATTTGAGATTCAATGGAAAGCTAAATAAGAACATAAAAAGCATCAACTGTTTTATAGTTTTAAGGGTTAAAACATACGTGTTCACACTTTTGATTCTCAGGGGATCTTCTTTTCCTTTTCTCCACCATAACATAAGCTCTTTATGTGGTTTCTAAAACCTTTTCTTGTTGCAGAGTAATGAATGGAATTTGTCAAACAAGTTGAAATTAAGAATAACAATCAATCTCAGATTAACGTATGGAAGTGGTTCACAAAATACTTTTGAAATGAATGGAATTTGTCAAATGAAATGGAAAGGATTTCAATTCTATTCTTTTGTTGTTTTGTGTTTATTTTAAAAATCTATCAAAAGAATTGAAGTGCAGTATGTTAAAATGACTGAAACACCCTTTAGTGGTTTTTTTATAAAATAACAGAATTGCTATATACCAAAGAAGATTTTATTTATGATATTAAACACTAACTATATACACATCAAACATACATACTCTAATTTCATAAACATTAAACAAAAAAATAAGACACTAATGGTGAAACAATTAGATAGAAAATGGATTAAAAATATTTTACAAAATGACTAACAAAAATGGATGCAAAAGACATAAGACATGAGAATAACTGGAATGCAGATGCAATTACACTACCTGTGCATTATCAGCCTCTTCGGTTAATGAAACCAGATAACATAACAGGGCTTTTCTCCTATGTCTTGAGCTGCACATACCATAACCTTTTTATTTTTCAAAGAGACTATTTATTAAACAAGGAAAAGAGAGCACTTACAATATTCTCATATATAATGATTTTATTCACCAAAGAGACTTGATTATCACCCCATCAGATATATAAAAGTAAACATCAGGATCCATGTCAGTTGAAGAAACAACAAAAAAGCCTGCACATTCATTTGGATATTAAACAAGTTACTTAATAGGAAAACATTATAACATGTGATGAATGTTATGAACATCTATAAACAGATTTGGTTGTGGAAGTGGAACATCTCATGTATTTTAATTTAATTGGAGAGGAAACATAACTTAATTAAACAGAAACACACAACTTTATATGAAACTTTTAGTTAGAACCAAAGTACACTTGTATTTCTAATTGAGTTAGAAATACAAACAATAAATTATCTTTCACTAATTGAATTTCTAATAACTCAATAAGTTGTTTAATATTTTAATTTGGTTTGTGATTATTTACATCTCTCTACATAATTTAATCCAGCAACATTTTTACCCTCAAAACAAAGCAAAACAACTCTTTAGGTTAATTAAGACATTTCATCAAACACCTAAACTGCACAGATAAACAATCTACAACTAAGAATACTTTTTGGGTTTCAAAACTATTTAAATTTTACCAACATCACCACTTGCTTGACCAATCATCTTCGTTTGATGGATGCTTTGGTTTCAATTTGGCGACCTGATTCAAAAAACCATCGAATCAAAAGATAAATGGAGGAGAAAGAGAAAAAACACAGAGAGGTCGTGGTGTTAATAAAAGCTGCAATTAAGTAAAACTACGTCGTTAATATACCTTTTGTACAGTGTTTGAACCTTTTAGCGATGATGAAGCATGCTTAGAAGAAAAAAATTAGTTTCGTGACATAAAAAGTTGCCATACACTTAGCCTAAAACACGTCACGTCATTATTGAAAAGATACAAGTAAACACTATACCTAGAAATCAGAGGAAAAAGATCTATACTCTTTTTATTGATCGATGATGATGGCAAACCAAACTGACCGATGAATCCAGGAACGAACGAATAATGAACGAAGAGCGACCTGAATAATCTTCTTGGCCTATTGAAAATACCTAACAAAAACAAAATCAAAGTCAATAATACACACACACAAAAAAAAAATCAATAAGTTTAACTAACAGACGAAGAGGGAAACACAGAGGATTGTTGAACGCCGGATAATGAAAGAAAGAGACAACGGTGGTGTCGCTGGAAGAAAAAAGAGAAGAAGGTGGTGCCTCCCAATAAAACCCTCGTTCTTCTTTTTCTTCTTCACTGAAACATGTCTCCTATGGTGTTTGGAGATCAGCGGGATGACTATGAGTGAGTGAAGAAGGTATAAATTAGGCGCAATACACCGACCCAACCCTTTGGACTTCCTAATTTCAACGGTTTTTTTATAAAACATTTCCAAAATTAAAACCTTTCCAAAAGTCAAACGAGTAACAAAATCCAAAATTAAAACTTTTCCATAATTAAAACGGGGATTCTAAACACATGGTTAAAGTTACCAATCGAATCAAATCAAATAAATATTAAAAAAAATATATAATAGTTAGTTTCAAAAATATTTACTAAATTAGTGTTTTTTTTTTTATTTTTCTTTTATTTCAGTTTTTCTCATTGTTATTTTTAATTTAAATATCTTTTTTTTCGGTTTTTTATTATCTTTTTTAGTTTATTTTTTAAATATCAATGTTTTTATTTTTTTAAATATCAATTTTTTTTATTGACGCTTAACATAAATGCTTTGGCAGTATTTATACAAATTAAATAAAACATTTTCAACATCAAATTTTAGCCATCTTAAATTAAAACTATCATTACACATACAATATTCTTTAAGAACTAACGTGCAAAAATTTCAATATTATACGTACAATTTTTTTAAGGTAACAAATAATTCCAACATTATTAAAAATATATATATATATATATATATATATATATATATATATATATATACATCATAATTAACTTGAAATTGAAGTTATGGTTGTATTTGAATTTTCGACTGCTAATTAAATCTTAAGACTATTACTTTGGGGTTGATTTGTAGTGAGCCAAAATGATTAGTGCTCTACAGTAGAAGAACTATAATTCGATTTTCAGTATAATCAATTACTCATTTCAGGTTGTTATATAATTAGTGTTATACAACACTTATTTATTTAAAGGACAAATCATATAAAAACCATATAGTTTTTTTTTTTTCACTAGCTAGTTTTACGGGTTAACGATTATTTTTTTACCATTTCAATCATACAACTTTGAGACGTTTCTCCAAGTCGGTTATTATTTATGACTTTGTGATATTAAGTATAACCATTATTCTTGTATCTTTTATTTTACAAGGACGTGTAAGAACGAAGACAAAATTACCTCCTCGGGGACCTCAACTATAATTCAATTGATTATTAATTGTTTTTAAACGACTATTAATCTAAGTTGGAACTAAGTAAAATTTCTTAGTCATGTTGAATGAGTACAATCTTTTTTATTCCCAAATAGTTTTAAATTTGGAAGCAATTCATTAAATAGTGATTGTGGCCAATACGTTTTTTTAAGAAGTGAGTAGAAATTGGATGTATAACGATAGTTTTAATTTAAAATTGCTAAAATTTGATGTTTAAAATGATTTGTATAATATGTATGAATAATGTAATAGCATATATTTTAAATTAATATTAGAAATAAGGTAAAAAAATTTAAAAAAAAAACTTACATTAAAAAAAATAAGAAAATAGTAAAAAATTTAAATAAAAGAAAAAAGTAAAAAAATTGATAATTAAAATAAATAAAAAACATAAGAAAAACTAAAAAATAGAGGAAAAATGAGAAAAATACTAGTTTGGTAAATATTTTTCAAACTACATTAAATCGGTAAATATTTTTTTCAATAACCTTATTTTGGTCAAAAACTCATCCATCCTAATGTTTACTTTGCTTTTTTTTTAAATTAAATATTATTTTTATTTTTATGTTTGATTTAGACTAAATAACTTCTATATCAATGTTTATAATGTAATTTTAGTTTTCAATAATTATTACATGTATTTTCCTTTCTATTTATTTACGTTATAATCTTTAAAATAATATTTGTTATAATATCTTAAGCCTTTTAACAATATTGAACCTAGTTTTAAGTTGAAAAAAAATAGATTTTTTTACCGGTATAACCTCTCAGTTCAATTAGTTTTTCATTAAACCAAAAGGTTTCTTTCTTTTTAATTACATCCGCGTTTTTTTTTTAATAAGTGACATTTCTATTTAACCAGTCAAATAATTTGTTCTAGTTTTTTAAGGTCTACAATCCGACCTCAAGTATTATTGATTATTTTATTTTTATTGGATTCAGTTAATTACGAACCATGTTGTGTCATGTGCTAGATTTGCCACTGATATTTATGAGTGTACCTTTTCCACCACTTTACTTTTTAAAATATTACTTCAAACCTTTCACTTTGAATTTAAAAAAATGTTACTTTGACCTTTTTATTTTCTAAATTTTCATGTTTTACCTCGTATTATATAATAGATAAAACATAATTATAAGCATTGAATTTTGTATGTTGAATTTTGACGATTGTATTGAAAACAATTATATCGAAACGTAGACAAACTCGAATATAATATATTTTTTAAGATTTGTAAAAAAACTTTGGACCAAATTTGAAAACGAAATTAGTCCAAAATTGTAAAACAAAGGAAAATACATGGATCGAAATATGTGTTGCGGAGAATATAACATGTACAATAAACAATACATGATTTACTCTAGGATTACATTTAGTTATAGCATAATGCACTCTTTAAGGTGCATTTTTTTTTAAATAAACATGTTAAAAAAACATAAATTTTATATATTTTAAGTGTTGCTAAAAAAATCCTCACATGATGGAACATGCTTGTGTGAAGGTCAACACATATACATTACACCCACACATACGGGTACATTTAAGATACCCTTTTAAATATAGGAAAATTTTTAAAATAAATGTATGAAAAGGAAAATCTAAATATTTGTAAAAATTGTTATTTAAAGAAAACTAATTTTATAAAATGATTTCATTAAAAAAACAAAGATAGTAAAAAAAAAAGTTGTAAAAAATAGCCTTTATAAATACAGAAAATGAATTAAAATTTTTAATTTATATAAAAAAAAAATACAACACAACATAAATAATTGTTTTAGTAAAATAACTCATTTTATAAATATGATTTCATACTTATAACAAAATTAATAAAAAAAAAAAGACTAAGTTTTAAGAAATATATAAAAAGAAAGTTATAAAAAATATTTGTAAAAGTTTCTAAAAGAAGTTTGGACAAATTAGAAATAAAACTTATAAAAAAAACTTAGTCAAAATATAAAAGGGAAGAGGAAGGTATCAATTTTCCAATAAAAGATAAATTTATAGGTTAAAATGGTAAAAGTGAAAAGTTAGGGTGTTGCTATTCGCACTGGTAGATAGTGTATCTAACACTATAAAATTCATTTGTGTTGTCATTACCTATTGTACGGTGACGTTTATAAGAGTGAATCTAAGTTCGAACCCAAGTAGGGCATAAAAGATTGAGTCCGAATAAAATAAATTTGCTTAAGAGAGTGGGTTTTGAGAACCTTGTCCGACATAGAGCCAAATTTAATCACGAGAATTAAGAAGGAGATGATGATGGTGATCGACATAAGAATTGCAGCCTTCGTTGTGACGAAGCAACTGGCGACTAGAGTTGCTACCTGTTATGGTGTGGTTGTATGTCGACCTCTCATAACCTAAGGAAGAAGGATCAAGCTTCTGACATAAGAAGAATAAGAGAGAAGGAAGGTGTCTTCCATACCATGGTTTATCTCGTAGAGACAAGAATTCAAATCGCCATGAATCTTTTTGTAACAAAATGTTATTAGTTTATGATCGCTAAGTTAATTATTGTAGTTAAGATAGATACCACTTCATAAGATGAGTTGGGAAGGAACGTGTGTACTCAGTGCTCACTGGAAGTTGAGTCTACGACTCAAAAGCTGGGACTGAAATTCAATCAGAGGATAAAAGAACATGTGCAGATTCACGCGCATTGCTCGACAAATAGGTTCAGGCCAATAGATTCCCGCTCGAGAGATTAGGAAAGTAGGGTTCATTGTAGAGAGTATAAAAAGACACGTGTGAGTGTCTTCCGTATGTTTGCATCCGAGTGTTCCATAAACGGTTGAGATGACCATTACGAGAGGATCAGTACGAAGTTTACTAATGTATCAACAATATACATGATAGGATTGGTGAATCGAGTCGTTGATCCATATAAGACTAGTTAATCTTGAGGTTATCAATAGCAGTGAGGATAACTAAGGAACCCTGTCATGGATTAGTAAGGTTGGTATAAAGAAGCGACTCCTCATTAACGCCTGTGTAAGCAATTTTGGTTTTTGGAGATTCAGCCATGGAGACGCCTCACCAGTGCAAGTGTGATTGTAGTAGTAAAAAGTTCAACCTATAAGCAACAAGAGGATCCAAATATTTCCTTTGGGAGTTAGAATGATAGTCAAGCTGTAAGATATCGTCATAAACTTGTTTAAGCTCTCCGAGTTTTATTGGATGCAAAATTTCGATTGACAATAAAGGACACCTAAGATCAAAAGAAGTTAGAGTAAGTTCCTAGGTACGTATGTTCAATTGAAGGCCACAGTCGAGTGCGACTACATGTGTGTCTAGCGATGTGCCAATGCTATTTTAGACTTCAGAGTATACTATGTGCTTGGTTTAGTCATTCCTTTTATTGATAACTAAGTAAGATATTATAAAACTATAATCGAATATATGAAATGCATATATTAATATAGGGAAACAGTTAGACTTTAGCATCCGTGTTACATAAGTTAAGGGTCTCAAATCAGTTGTAGCCTCAAGAGGCTAAGTAGCAAATGCATGTTGTGATTTATATACATCAAAAGGGATGATGATTTATTTCTTTCAGAACGGTGAGATAATGGGTGCAAGTCTACAAGCCACCAAGGTGTTGATCATGAGTCTTTAGACCCAATGAGGGATGATGACAACAACGATCTAGTATCGTAGACCTAGTAGTTGGATAGCATCGCGACTTATCTTGAATGCGTGTGTGTGAGATCGATCGAATGTAGGCTAATGGTGGTCTAGTGTTCATTATGATCCAGTAGATTGAAAGATGAGCAAGTCTTATAATGAGTATGTCACCAATATTAGAGTATTGGTTCCAGAGTTTTCAAACCAGTAAACTAGTTATGACACATTTGATTAAAATTTAGGATGTTGGAACATCTGAAGTAGATAGAGAGACCACTTGCAATAAAGGTTCATGTGTGTTTTAAAAGGATACCATAGAAAGATGTTGCAAGACATAACGCCATATTGGTATACCACACGCCTTTTT